GCATAGTGCTTGTTACAGTACCTGGCACATGTAGGTACTCAAACATTTTGACTCCTTTGTGCCTCTTGGAATGGGGATTGCTTAAGCTGTACTGAAAAAAATAGCCTTTAACATCTGTTTGAGATTTGTGATACATAGAAGTTGAGAGGAAGATGTGGAAAGCCCTAGGAGAGCTACCTACCAGCACCACCACCAGCTCTCCCTCAGTATTCCTAGTCAGGACAGACGGGGCTGAGTCTGAAATTAGATAGTCTTTGGATACAAGATAAACAGACCAGAGGGACTGGTATGTAGCAAATTTTCAATATATAATATAAATAGGAATGAATTTGATAGGAATGAAATTGAAATGATGTGAGTTGGAATCAGAGTGTAGAAGACTTTATTTTGGAACACAATGGGGCCTTAAGTTGTTTACTTCCAAGGGAAAGTTGAGATCTGAGAGGTTAAATGATTTATTAAACTGCCTACAGTTGCACAGCAAAGTAATAGTAGAAGTGACACTAGATATATTTTCCCTTTAGACACATTTGCTTTTTTGTTGTTTTTCTGCTATTACCCAAAAAGGTTAACTTGGGTCAGCTTTACCTTTCTGTTTCTTCATCTGTAAAATAAATCCATCATTCATCCTAATTCTCACAGTATGATTATCTTAGGCAAGAAAAACTATTTGATATAAACTAGGTCTCAAACTCTTGGCCTCAAGTGATCCTTGTGCCTTGGCCTCCCAAAGTGCTGGTATTACAGGCGTGAGCCACCATGCCTGACCAGTTTAAAATATTATTTTTATTTTTTGTGGAGACAGAGTCTCACTGTGTTGCCCAGACTGGCCTTGAACACCTGGCCTCAGGTGGTCTTCTCACCTCAGCCACTCAGTGTTGGGATTACAGGCATGAGCCACTGTGCCTGGCCTTGCAGAAACATTTTACATTTTGATGAAATAACAGTTTATCTGTTGTTTTTCCTTTGTTGCTTGTGCTTAAGGGGTATCATTTAAAAAATTCTTGCCAATCCAATGTCATAAAGATTTTCCCTACTGTTTTCTTCAAAGAGTGTTGTAGTTTTAGCTCTTAAATTTTGTAGTTCTAACTCTTACATCGTTGATCCATTTGTGTTTATTTTTATTTTTCTGAGACAGGGTCTTGCTCTGTCACCTAGGCTGGAGTGTAGTGTTACAACATGGCTCACTGCAACCTGTACTTCCTGGGCTCAAAAGATCTTCCTGCCTCAGCCTTTCATGTAGCTGTAACTACAGGGCATGCCACCACTCCTGGCTGATTTTTAAATTTTCTCACTATGTTGCCCAGGCTGGTCTTGAACTCCTGGACTCAAGCGATCTTCCTGCCTCAGCCTCCCAAGTTTCTGGAATTACACACATGAGCCCAACATTTGATCCATTTTGAAGGTTTTTTTGGTATATGATGTAAGAAAAGTAAGATTTAACTTCATTGTTTTGCATGTGGATATCTAGCCAGCATCATTTGTTGAAAATGTATTTAATCATAATTAATTAATTTATTTATTTATTTATTTTTTTGAAGACGGAGTCTGTCTCTGTGGCCCAGGCTGGAGTGCAGTGGCCGGATCTCAGCTCACTGCAAGCTCCGCCCCCAGGTTCCCGCCATTCTCCTGTCTCAGCCTCCCAAGTAGCTGGGACTACAGGCGCTGCCACCTCGCCCGGCTAGTTTTTTGTATTTTTTTAGTAGAGACGGGGTTTCACTGTGTTAGCCAGGATGGTCTCGATCTCCTGACCTCGTGATCCGCCCGTCTCGGCCTCCCAAAGTGCTGGGATTACAGGCTTGAGCCACCGCGCCCGGCCTAATCATAATTAATTTAAATCCAGTAGCCACATGTGGCTACTAGTGGGGCAAGTGTTTTTGTTTTTGAGACAGGGTCTCACTCTGTTGCCCAGGCTGGAATGCAGTGGCCTAATCATAGCTTACTGCAGCCTTAAACTCCTAGGATCAAACGATCCTCCCATCTCAGCCTCCTGAGTAGCTAGGGACAAGAGGCATGTGCCACCTTGTGCAGCTAATTAAAAAAATATATATATTGTGTAAAGACAGGGTCTTGCTATGTTGCCCAAACTGGTCTCAAGCATTCCTCCCACGTCTGCCTTCCAAAGAAGTGGAATTACAGGTGTGAGCCACCACACCCTGTGTAGGGAGGATTTTTTGAAAGTGATACTACATTGGGCAGCACAGATCTAGATGATCATGTTATTTTTCTCCTTTAATCTGGTTAGGTGGTGAATTTATAGATGGAGCTGAAATTCTCATAATTATCAAGCTGTTTTTGCATTCCTGGCATATTATACTAGTTAATTAAACAAAGTCCCTTTTTTTTTTTTTTTTTTTAAATGGCTATGGAAATTGTTTAGAAAGATTGTGCTTTCTAAAAAAATGTTCTTAAACAAGTGTGCCTTCTCTTGGACTACATGAGCCTTTATTCTCATAAAAATACATTGATTTCCTTAAATATATACATTGCAGCCTGGTGTGGTGGCTCACACCTGTAATCCCAGCACCTTGGGAGGCTGAGTCAATCACCTGAGGTCAGGAGTTCGAGACCAGCCTGACGAACATGATGAAACCCGTCTCTACTAAAAATACAAAATTAGCCAGACGTGGTGACACATGCTTATAATCCCAACTACTTGGAAGGCTAAGGCAGGAGAATCACTTGAACCTGGGAGGCGGACGTTACAGTGAGCCGAGGTCATACCATTTCATTCCATTCACTCCAGCCTGGGCAACAAAAGCAAAACTCTGTCTCAAAAAAAAAAAAAATTACATACATGTATATACACACACATATATATACACATGTACATATATACATATATATATACACACACACAGCACTACTTTTTATCCTTTTTCAGACTGCCTATTATAGCTGGGCATGGTGGTTGACGCCTGTAATCCCAGCACTTTGGGAAGCTGAGGAGGGCGGATCACCCGAGGTTGGGAGTTTGAGATCAGCCTGGCCAACATGGTGAAACCCTGTCTCTACTAAAAATACAAAAATTAGTTCAGGCGTGGTGGCTCACACCTATAATCCTAGCACTTTGGGAGGGTAGATCACTTGAGGCCAGGAGTTCGAGGCCAGCCTGGCCAACTTGGTAGAACCCCATCTCTACTAAAAATACAAAAATTAGCTGGGCATTGTGGCTGGTGCCTGTAATCCCAGCTACTCCAGAGGTTGAGGCAGGAGAATCACTTGAACCTGGCAGGTGGAGGAGGTTGCAGTGAGCCAAGATCACACCATTGCACTCCATGCACTCCAGCCTGAGCAACAGAACGAGACTCAGTCTCAAAAAAATAAAATAAAATAAAAGATTAGCCAGGTATGGTGGCACACACGTGGTATCCCAGCCATTCGGGAGGCTGAGGCATGAGAATCACTTGAACTCGGGAGGCAGAGGTCTCAGTGAGCCAATATCATGCCACGGCACTCCAGCCTGGGCGACAGGATGAGACAACATCTCAAAAAAAAAAAAAAATTGCCAATTATTTTTTACTATTACTATTATTATTATTATATAGTGACTGAATCTGGTTTTCTTGAGACAGAGTCTTGCCCTGTTGCCCAGGCTGGAGTGCAGTGGCGTGATCTCAGCTCACTGCAGCCTCTGCCTCCCGGGTTCCAGCGATTCTCCTGCCTCAGCCTCCCAAGTAGACTAGCTGGGATTACAGGCGCCCGCCACCATGGCCAGCTAAGTTTTGTATTTTTAGTAGAGACAGGGTTTCACCATGTTGACCAGTCTGGTCTCAAACTCCTGACCTCAGGTAATCCGCCCACCTCAGCTTCAGTCACCACTGTCTAATTTCAGAACACTTTCATTACCCCGAAGAAACCCAGTACACGTTTAGCATTTATTGCCCATCTCCCTTCCTCCCAGCCCCTGGCAACCACTAATCTGCTTTCCGTATCTGTGAATGCACTTATTCTGGGTATTTCATATAAATGGAATCATATGTGGTCTTTTGTGACTGGCTTTTTTCACTGGGCATGATGTTTTTGCTTGTAGCATTTGTCAGTAATTAATTCCCTTTTGTTAAACAATACTCCATTGTGTGAATATACTGCATTTTATTTATTCATTCATCAGTTGATGGATCTTTGGGTGCTTTCTACCTTTAGGTTATTATAATTGTGTTACTATCAACGTTTATGTGCAAGTTTTTGTGTAGATGTATATTTTCCTTCTGTTGGATAGAGATCTAGAGAGTGCGAATTGCTGGGTCATATGGCAATTTTATGTTTAAACAATCTGAGAAACTGCCAGATTGTTTTCCATAGGGATTGCTGTGCTATTTTGCATTGTCACCAGCAGCAAATGAGGGTTCCACTTTCTCCACCTCCTCACCAGCACTTATCTAACTAGTAGGTATGAGGTGGTATCTCGTTGTGGTATTGATTTGCATTTCTTTAATGACTAATGTTGAACTAATTAATAATATTTTATATACTTATTGACCAGTGTATCTTTGAGAAATAGCTATTCAGATCTTTTGCCCATTTTTAAATTGTCCTTTTTTTTGGTCCTTTTTATTATTGAGTTATAATACTACTTTCAATATTGTAGATACTGGGTCCTTATTAGATACATGATTTGCAAATGGGAGGAAATCCTATTCTATAGATTATCTTTTTACTTTCTTTTTTTTTTTTTTTTGAGATGGAGTCTGGCTCTGTCACCCAGGCTGGAGTGCAGTGGCGTAATCTCAGCTCACTGCAAGCTCCACCTCCCAGGTTCACGCCATTCTCCTGCCTCAGCCTCCCGAGTAGCTGGGACTACAGGCGCCCGCCACCACGCCCGGCTAATTTTTTGTATTTTTAATAGATACGGGGTTTCACCGTGGTCTTGATCTCCTCACTTTGTGATCTGCCTGCCTCAGCCTCCCAAAGTCTTTTTACTTTCTTAACAGTGTTTTTTGTAGCATGAAAGGTTTGAGGAAGTCACAGATAAATTTCACTTTTGGTGTTGTATCTAAGAAACCGTTAACTAGGGTGACATTCAGCCGGCCGTTCCCGGCAACGGACTTCGCATCCCAGAACCATGGCCCAATTTGTCCGTAACCTTGTGGAGAAGACCCCGGCTCTGGTGAACGCTGCTGTGACTTACTCGAAGCCTCGATTGGCCACATTTTGGTACTACGCCAAGGTTGAGCTGGTTCCTCCCACCCCTGCTGAGATCCCTAGAGCTATTCAGAGCCTGAAAAAAATAGTGAATAGTGCTCAGACTGGTAGCTTCAAACAGCTCACAGTTAAGGAAGCTGTGCTGAATGGTGTGGCCACTGAGGTGTTGATGTGGTTTTATGTTGGAGAGATCATAGGCAAGCGTGGCATCATTGGCTATGATGTTTGAAGACCAATCTTTAACATCTGGTTATATTTGATTTATTATTTGAGTGTTGTTGGACCATGTGTGATCAGACTGCTATCTGAATAAAATAAGATTTGTCAAAGAAAAAAAAAAAAAAAGAAACCGTTAACTAGGCCAGGAACAGTGGCACACACCCACACTCCTGTAATCCTAGTGCTTTGGGAGGCCCAGGATGGAGGATTGCTTCAGGCCAGGAGTTCACGACCAGCCTGAGGAACATAGTGAGACCCTCCTCTCAACAAAAAATAATTAGCCAGGCATGGTGGCAGGGGCTTATAGTCCTTGCTACTTGGGAGTTTGAGGAAGGATTGCTTGAGCCCAGGAGTTTGAGGCTGCAGTGAACTATGATTGTGTAACTATACTGCCGCCTGGGAAACAGAGTGAGATACTGTCTCTTAAAGAAAAACAGAAATCCCAGTACTTTGAAAGGAAGCCGAGGTGGGTGGATCACTTGAGTTCAGCAGTTCCAGACCAGCCTGGCCAACATGGTGAAACCCCATCTGTACCAAAAAACACAAAAATTAGCCAGGTGTGGTGGCACACCCCTGTAGTCCCAGCTACTCGGGAGGCTGAGGCAGGAGAATCACTTGAACCCAGGAGGTGGAGATTGCAGTGAGCTGAGATTGTGCCACTGGGCTATAGTGAGACCCTGTCTCAAAAAAAAAAAAAAAGAAAAAAGAAAAAAAAACCCCAAACCATTGCCTAATCCAGAGTCATGACATTTACAACATATAACCTTCTAAGAATTGTTTAGTTTTAGATCCTTCATTTAAGCTTTTCATTCATCTTAAAGTAATTTTTGTGAGTGTGGTGTAAGGTAGAGGTCCACTTTCATTCTTGGACACATGTTCATATCTGGTTGTCCCAGCAGAGTTTCTTAAAAAGACTTTTTCCATTAAATTGTCTTTGAATGCTTGTTGTTTTTTTTTTTTTTTCTTTTTTCTTTTTTTGAGACAGTGTCTTGCTGTATCACCCAGGCTGGAGTGTAGTGGCATGACCTCAGCTCACTGCAACCTCCGCCTCCTGGGTTCAAGTGATTCTCCTACCTCACCCTCCCGAGTAGTTGGGATTATAGGCAGGTGCCACCATGCCCAGCTAATTTTTGTATTTTTAGTAGAGACAGGGTTTCACCATGTTGGCCAGGCTGGTCTTGAACTCCTCATCTCAAGTGTTCCACCTGCCTTGGCCTCCCAAAGTGCTGGGATTACAGGCATGTGCCACCGCTCCTGGTCTTGGCATGCTTATTGAAAGTCAATTGACCATAAGTGTAAGAATTTATGTCTGCATTCTCCCTTCTGTTCCATCAGTCTATATATGTCTGTCCTTAAATACCAGTACCACACAGTATTGATTACTATACCTTTATAGTAAGTTTTAAAATTATTATAGTTTTATGGTGAGTTCAACTCTTTTCCTTTTTTTTTTGGAGACAGGATCTCATTCTGTTATTCAGGCTGAGTTCAGTGGCGTGAACATGGCTTACTGCAGCCTCAACCTCCTGGGCTCAAGCCATCCTTCTATCTCAGCCTCCTGTGGAGTTGGGACTACAAGCACACACCAGCACTCGTGGCATATATATATATATATATATATATATATATATATTTTTTTTTTTTTTTTTTTGTAGAGGCAGTGGTTGGTCTTGAACTCCTGGTCCTCCCAGCTTTCTTTTGTTCTCTTTAAGGATTGTTTTGGCTATTATGGTTTCATGGTATTTCCATATGAATTTTAGGATCATCTTGCTAATTTCTGCCCCCCCCCCCCCCCCCGCAAAAAAACTGTGATTTTGGTAATAATTGCTTTGAATTTGAAGATACATTTGGGAGATTATTGCCATCTTAATAATGCCTTTCAGTTCATGAACACAGGAAATTTTTCTATTTAGCTATCATTTAATTTATTTCAACAATGCTTTGTAGCTTTCTGGTGTATAAGTCTTGTACTTATCTTGTTAAATTTATTCCTTAGTATTTTTTTTATGCTGTTGTAAATGGATTTTTTTAACTTCCTCTTTGGATTTTTCATTGCTAGTATATAGAAATAGAACTGATTTTATTAACCCCTATTGTTGTGTGTGTGTGTGTGGATTCCTTATAGTTTTCTGTGTACAAGATAATGTAATTTGTGAATAGAGGTAGGTTTACTTCTTCCTTTCCAAACTTTTCTTTTTCTTGCCTAATTGTCCTAGCTAGAAATTTCTTGCCTGATTGCCCTAGCTAGAAACTTCAATACAGTGTTGAATAGAAATGGGTAACAAACATATCTTTGCCTTGTTCCTGATCTTAGGAGGAGAGCTTTCAGTCTTTCACCATTAAGTATTTTTTTTATTTTTTTAAATTTTTTTGAGACAGAGCGAGACGAGACCCCCATCTCAAAAAAGAAAAGAAAAACAGATGGAATATTTATAGACATAATGTGACATGCTGGTTTTTATTTTTATTTTTATTTTTGAGACAAGGTCTCTCACCCTGTCACCCAGGCTGGAGCGCAGTGGTGCTATAACAGTTCGCTGCAGCCTGGACCTCCCCAGGCTCGGGAGCCTCTCACCTCAGTTGTTTTTTTTTTTTTCTTCTTCTTCTTCTTTTGAGACGGAGTTTCACTCTTGTTGCCCAGGCTAGAGTGCGATAGTGCGATCTCAGCACACTGCAACCTCTGCTTCCCGGGTTCAAGCGATTCTCCTGCTTCAGCCTCCCAGGTAGCTGGGATTACAGGCATGCGCCACCATGCCCGGCTAATTTTGCATTTTTAGTAGAGTTGGGGTTTCTCCATGTTGGTCAGGCTGGTCTCAAACTCCTGACCTCAGGTGATCCACCCACCTTGGCCTCCCAAAGTACGGGGATTACATGCGTGAGCCACCGCTCCTGGCCTAATTTTTTTTTTTTTTTTTTTTTGAGACAGAGTCTCGCTCTGTCACCCAGGAGTGCAGTGGCCAGATCTGGAGTGCAGTGGCCAGATCTCAGCTCACTGCAAGCTCCGCCTCCCGGGTTTACGCCATTCTCCTGCCTCAGCCTCCCGAGTAGCTGGGACTACAGGCGCCTGCCACCTCGCCCGGCTAGTTTTTTGTTATTTTTTAGTAGAGATGAGGTTTCACCGTGTTAGCCAGGATGGTCTCGATCTCCTGACCTGGTGATCCGCCCTTCTCGGCCTCCCAAAGTGCTGGGATTACAGGCTTGAGCCGCGCCCGGCCTAAATTTTTGTATTTTTAATAGAGAAGGGGTTTCACCGTGTTGGCCAGGCTGGTCTCCAGCTTCTGACCTCGATGATCAGCCTGTTTTGGCCTCCCAGTGTGCTGGGATTACAGGTATCAGCCACCATGCCCAGCCAGTTTTTGTGTTTTTAGAAGAGACAGGTTTTGCCATGGAGCAGGCTGGTCTTGAATTCCTGGGCCTAAGTGATGCGCCTGCCCTGGCCTCCGAAAGTGCTGGGATTACAGGTATGAGCCACTGCACCCAGCCTGGTTTTAATTTTTATTATTTTTATTTTTATTTATTTATTATGAGGCAAGGTCTGGCTCTGCTGCCCAGACTGGAGTGCAGTAGCCCCATCATAACTCATGGCAGCCTCAAACTCCTGAGCTCAAACAATCCTGCTGTCCCAGTCTCCTGAGTAGTACATGCGCACACTACCATGCCCAACTAATTTAAACAAACTCTTTTTTTTTTTTTTTTAACAAGATAGGGTCTTGGTATGTTGCCCACGCTGGTCTTAAGCTCCTGGCTTCAGAAAGTGATCCTCCTACCTCAGCCTCCCTAAGTGCTCGTATTACAGGCATGAGCCACCATGCCCACTTTGGGAGGCCGAGGCAGGCAAATCACCTGAAGTCAGGAGTTCAAAACCAGCCTGGCCAACATGGCGAAACCTTGTCTCTACTAAAAATACAAGAATTAGCTGGATGTGGTGGTGTGTGCCAATAATTCCAGCTACTTGGGAGGGTGAGGCAGGAGAATTGCTTGAACCCGGGAGACAGAGGTTGCAGTGAGCTGAGATTGCACCACTGCACTCCAGCCTGGGCGACAGAGCAAGACTCTGTCTCAAAAAGAAAAAGTAAAAAGAAAGAAACTGTTTCCTAAAAACAGTTTTTCTCAGCTTATTATAGTTTTCTATATAACTCAGGCGTATTGTTACTGACTTAGTGAATATTCTCTGCTCAAAAGTTCTGATTTCCCGACCCTTACCTGCTTTTTTACTTTTTAAGTGTCTTACATAGACAGTTTGAGAAAATACCCTTTCCACCATTCTATTTTCTGACAGCTTGAGAAAAGAATGTTAGAAATTTCTATAGAATGATGAATAGATGAAATACCTACTTGGATCTAGTGTTTCTTCCTCATATTTCTTCTGCTCATTACCTAGGAGAGTGATACAACTAATACTCCTGCAGTTGACTTATCTACCAGTACTTGAGTTAATCTAAGTATTCCATTTATGTGGCCATTTTAACCATTTTATATAGTTAATTACGACTAAACTGGGAATGGTGACTATTTTTTAGGATATTTAAAATTCTTTGTGTTATTTGGATTCTAAATAACATGATTTTGCTATGTTATTTGGTCATCTAAGTAGAATAAAGTAATTTGTTGTTGGTTATTCAGGAATGCAATTCCCTGTTAACCCTGGGAAATGCAAATTGCTTTTGAGAGGAAATGTGGTTGAAATAGATGTCATTGTTCAGTTTATGCTTGTTACTTACTGTGACACTGGGCCTAGTGAGGACTGGTACCTACAGAAAGCCTGTAACTCCCTTTAGGCTGCCTAAAATCACATATATGAAAAAGCATCTAGAATAAAAGCATAGCATGCTAGTAAACCAATTTATATTATTTGGTAATGTTGGTGGGCTAAAGGAAATCAGTAGCTGATTTCCTTACTGTTAAAGTGACCTTACCTTTTGGGTTTCACCTATAGCAGAGATTGTGTTATTGCCTACTGATATCCAGGGTTACTGTGAGGATTGAATGTTTTTAAAGCATTTATGAGATATGTTATAGAAGTTTACTTTGACTAGGGTTTACATTAAGATAGGATACAGGAAAAACAGACATCCTTGACAGTGTTAAAATTCACACAGGCCAGGTATGGTGGCTCACACCTGTAA